AAGGATACAGGGTAGGAAGCACAGAGTAGTGAGCTCACATGAAAGCCAAAGAATGTTGGGCATCTGAAGGCTGTAACTGGATTAGAGAGAAAAAAGTAAAACCAAGACTCTGCTCCACAAAGTCCATAAGTGAGCTGCTCCAACTTTCCAGAAATAAGAGAAAAGATTGTTTATAATGAGAAACGCTAAAGAGAACCAGAATTTTCCCTTCATGTGAATTGGGTGCATGACCTGTTGCCTTTTCACACCCACCTCTAGGGTCTGGGGATTTAGCTCAGCGGCAAAAAAAAGTGCCTGCCTGGCAAGCGCAAGGTCATGAGTTCGGTTCCTGGTACAGGAGAAAAACCAAACCACACCCACCTCTAAGTATGGTCATAAGGAAAAGAACTTTCAACATCATATTCTTATTGTTACTAGTCTTTGAGAAAATGAATTTACTACTCACAAGGTCATTTTAAAATATAAATATGTACATATTACAGTGAGATTGAATAGGAAGGCAAAGAATCTTTTCTTTAAAACTCAAGATTTGTCTTTTTATTACATATTCCACTGACAAGTACGTTGGATCATCAAATTTTGGGAAAAAAATACCAGGAGGAATTTATCTTCTCACTACAAGCTTCATGAAGGTAGAGGTTTTTATTTTGTTTGTGAACTTCTGTATCACCAGCATCTAGTACAGTCTCTTGCAATATAGTTTGTTAAATGAGATTTTGAATATGACTTATAGAGGGGAGGGTAATACCATTATGAAAATATGAAGTACCCATCTTTGTCTGCTCTCTGGATCAGGACCTTTCTTAGCCCATTTTGTGCTGCTGTGATAGAATACTAGAGAATGAGTAATTTATAAAGGAGAGAAACTTACAAGATTACAGATCTATCTGTATTTCTTAAAGTTCTGGAGACTAGAAAACTCAAGCTCAAGGGGCCTGCACATAGTGAAGGCCTTTTAGCTGCACCATCCCAGGAAGGCAGAAGTGAAAGAGAGTGTGTGTGCAGACACAGGACAGAAAGAGGAAAGATGAGAGCGTGAGAGAAAGCTGAACTTATTTTTACAACAAATCCACTCTTAAAAATATGGACCCACTCCAGCTATGATGGAAAATTCCTCATGACCTAATCACCTCTTGTCGGTCCCCCTCTCAGTACTGTTGCATTGGGAATTAAGTTTCCAACATAGGGACTTTGGGGGACACAAACTTGGTCTGATTCCAAATGTAAGTCTGGTTTTTCTGATGGTGTGGCTCTCTATCTGTCTCTCTCTGTCTCTCTCTGTCTCTCTCCCTCTCCCCACCCCTTTTCCCTGGTAGGTGTCACATGTGGCTATCAAAACCTGGTACAATGGTGACTATCTCATAGATTAATCAGTTTTGAATCTATGTCTTGCTTTACCTGGGTATCCTCTATGAGTAGTAATAATAACTACTCATAGTAGTATTATTGGCATGTTTGTAACATTAGGAAAATTTTATTTGAATATATTGGGCTTTCTTTCTGCTTTGCCCTGGTTGTGGTTTGCTGTCTCGCTGTCCCTTGACTGTCCTTCCTGGTCTTATCTTTCACAGGATCTTAGTTTATTATCAACACTTCTGGCCTGACCCCAACATACCCCACTATTGCTAAATTATCTGTTATGTAACAACTCCTCAAACTCTAAATGACTAATTTCATTTAAGACATGGTTGATGCAATGGACATACTATTGATCAGGGAATCTCATTTCTAGAAAGGGTTAGGTCACTGTCCTGTTTTGTGAGCAGGAGCCACTCAGTCCCCCTGGATGCGTTCATCTCACATAGGAGTTTGCCTAGAATAATATTCCTGTAGACATGATTGTGCGTTCTGTAACACTAACCCAGATATGTCTTCGGAACTACATTCTCTAAGGAATTGCTATACATGTCCTTCTTAAGAAAAGTCTAAAATAAAGAAGTTATTCTTTTTCCGAGAGTTGTCTTCTTAGGAGGGAAGAGTAGCATGTTGGTACTTCCACAGAGAACCTATGAAGCATCACTGTTTGAACTTCCTGGGGAGCTGCGTGGAGTTTTATCTCCAAAGCAAGATGGTAAAGATACAATGAGGAGTAGGCCAAGATTTCTACCTTTGAGCACAAAGGATCAAATTGGAAGAGACCCAAATAAAGGAATATAAGAAGGCAACTGTAGAGTAAAGCTTTGCTCAGATCATAAGGACATACAGAATGAGAAGCAAGTAAGGCTGCACAGAGTCGGGGCAGCAGATGAGGGAGGGAAGGCTCCGCAGATGAAAGGACATCTGAAGTGAGCACCGAGGAGTGTTAGCAAGAACCCACCAGGTGTAGAAGATGGGGAAGCATATTCCAGGCAGAAGGCACAGCACGACCCAGAGGCATGCTGTAGGCCTGTGTGTGAATTCTGCGGTTACTCTTCTAGGAATGCAAGCTGTCAAGGCAAAAAAGGAGCAAGAGAGAGCCTTTCATGGTGGGGACTATGTGTTCTGAATGCCACCCGAAGAACTCTGAAATCTATGCTGTGGATGACAAGAAGCCATCCTTAAGTTGGTTTTAAATCAGAGAAATTACATGACCAATAATGGTTCAAAATACGAATTCTGACCCAAGCTTGTGGTGCATGTTTGTAATCCTGGTACTCAGGAGGCAGAGGTAGGAGGATTGCCATGAGCTCCTTCCATGAAGCAGCCTGTGTTACATAGTGAGTGCAAGGCCGTCTCAACTACACAGCAAGACCTTGTCTCAAACAGAGAGAGAGAGAGAGGGAGAGAGGGGGAGAGAGGGAGAGAGAGAAGAGAAGAAGAAGAAGAAGAAGAAGAAGAAGAAGAAGAAGAAGAAGAAGAAGAAGAAGAAGAAGAAGAAGAAGAAGAAAAGGAAGAAGAAGGAAAGGAAGGGAAAGGAAAGGAAAGGAAAAAAAGAAAGAAAGAAAGAAAGAAAGAAAGAAAGAAAGAAAGAAAGAAAGAAAGAAAGAAAGAAAAGAAAGAAAAGAAAGAAAGAAAGAAAGAAAGAAAGAAAAAGAAAGAAAGAAAGAAA